CGTCTCAGCCGTGCGGCCCGCCCTCGCCACCTGAACAAGAGAGAGAGCACGCCGCCTGCAAGCTGGCGGGGCTGGCTTACCTGATTTCTCGTCCCCAGACCCCGAATTTGGTTTCCCCTACTCCGCAGGCAGGCTTCCCCTGGCCTAGAAACGCGTCTGGGAGGCGGGCGGACCCCTGGGACCCCGTCGTCAGAGCCCAAAACCCTCGCCCCAGCCCCCCCCCCGCCCCGCGCGCTCTGGAGACGCGCCCGGCCTCCTGACCCTCGCCTGAATGTCAGCGCGGGGACCCGCAGGGAAGACCAAGCCCAGGCAACGGGGTAGGATGCTGAGCACAGGCTCCTCAGGCCCAGCCTCGTACAGGTGGGGGGAGGGGAAGAGCCCGGCCAGCAAAGCAGCAGGCTTCCCAGTTGCACCCCTAAAACCGACCCTGCCCACTGAGCATGCCCAGCTCACTTGTTGGAACTACAACAGCTAGGCAGGCAGGCGAGCCCAAGGGGACCCAAGGAGGACGCAGGTGGTGTTTAAATGGACCCATTTCTTTAAGGTTTTTCCTCCGAAGATCTCTGGGAGTTTTACACGTAACGTTTCTACCGTGGTATTGGAAAATACCCAGGGAAGGTTTGGAAAGGCCTTCCAAAAAGTGGCAGCCTTTGAACTGGAATCCCAGGGGTGGGTTTTTTTTTTTCCAGCCAATTATTTACTAAGACATTTACTAATTTCTTTAAATACCAAAGAATTATTATAATTGACCCAGAGGAATATGTAGATTTATTGCACCCCAAACTCTTAATAACAGGAAACCTGCCTATCCAATGGGTAGTGTATCCAGTGGAACAGTGGTTCTCAGCCTTGGATACACATTACAGATGGGGGACGGGAGAGGGGAGTGGACATTAAATGATCGATGTCCGGTTTCCATCCCCACACGAACTGAATCAGTCTGTGGATGGAACCTGAAAATCTTTATATTTTAAAACTGTGGATCTCAAAATGTGGCTAGGGGAGCGAGCAGAAGTCAGCATCACCAGAGAACTTGCTAGTAATGCAAATTCTCGGCCTCGCTCCAGACTACCTGATTCTTAAACTCTGGGACCAGGAGCCTAACTGATTGAACAAGCTCTTGGGGAGATTCAGATGCACACAACTGTTTGAAAACACAAGATTCACACGAGCACCCAGGCAGGGTTGAAAACCCCTGTGATAGACCATTGGTTTCACTTTTTTTTTTTTTTTCAAATCCTAAACATTTGTCTAGAAGAGCAACATGTTACACAGAAAAGGAATAATCTAGTTGAATAGAGGTGCCAAATTCTGGATTTCCTGCCTTCCCACTAATTCTCCCAGAACAGTTCAGTGATTGGAAATGGTGACCATCTGCTATTATTCACTTTTGTACTCTGGTGCCTAGCACAGTGCCTATAACATAATAGATGTTTGATCATTGTTAATTGATTTGAAATGAATACTTCAGTGAACGATTTGTTTCAGGCCCTATTATGTCTACTGTTTATTTTCCCCACATGTCCTAGTCACCTTGCTAAGCTAACAAGCCAGCAGGGATTCAGTTCTCATCAATAATCCATGATCATTCATGATGGTACAGTCCAAGTCAGACCCTGATGGAACAGAAAATGGGAAGAGGTAGAGAATGTTGAGGTGGGAAAAGTCAGAAGCATTGGACATGATTTCACTTGCCAAAATTGGGGCCCAAAGCAACCAAAGGAAAGCAAGAAGGACCTAAGCATGGGTGGAATTCAGGAAAGGCATCAAAGGAAGAAAGGTGTGTATGGGAGGGGTTAAGGGAGGAGAGAGAAGAAAGCTTAACATGATAAGCCTACTCTGATCTTTTTCTAAACAGCCCACCTGAGCCCTCCTCTTCCTCAGGCTCTCTCTCTCTCTCTCTCTCTCTCTCTATATATATATATATATATAATCTCAACTACAGACTTGAAAAATTTTAATTAGAAATTGTTGTGAAATAGTTACTTCCAACTGCTGTGTGAAAACAGCCCATTTGAAATTACTCAATATAAGTTAGGCATCCACTTTTATTCAAGGCCAAGTGGTTTAAAAAAAAGTTAATTTTTAGAGAGATATGCTAGATAATTTCAAAATGCAGAAGTTTATGATACTTCTTTAAGACCCACAGAGACTTACAAAATCAAAATTATTTCCTATTTACTCCATCACTATTTTCTAGATGGAATAAAGTATGAAAATGAATTTTTCTTTTTAGCCTTCTACATACTGCTTTAAAACTTAAGATACTATTTATGAACACCTAAAGTAGCATTCCACCTCTATATCTCTGTCCCTGTATCTTGCTTATCATGACAAGAATTCCACTAAAAGAGTTTGGTTGCTGATTGGGGTATCTAACAGGAGTGTAATTTCCCACATGTCTAAGTAATTTATTTTTGTTATTAAGATAATTTTGCGGGGAAGAGGGGAATAATCATTAATTTAGGGATTACCGTTTAGAATTTATTATTACACTAGATCCACACACACAAAAAACTTTGCCTATACACATATACACTAGCTACAGCCTCTCAAGGAATTAAAACAAAACCAAACAAACTAAACACGTCGAAGCCTGAAAAGGGAGAAAACTGAGTGAAGGTGGAGGAGAGGAAGCACTTATCATAACCGAATTAAAAACATGAAGTAATTATTTCAGCAGAAGGCAGTCTACTGAAGACCAGCCTCGGGGAAGTTACTCTTAAGTGTTTCTCCTAGTCATTATAAGCATGACTCAGCATTTGGAATGAAACTATGTTTACTGTCTTTCAGATTGAGGGTGTCAGATAACTTTGGTGCTACCTAACACTTTTCTAGTCTGCCTAAGAAAACTTGAGGACTGTCATGGGTTTGCAGCCTCACATGGCTACCAAAATCTGAAAAGCTTTCCCCTTTTCATTTGTTTCTATGTTAACAAAGCCTAAGTTTGCCCACCATTAATTTATCTTGCTTTTGTAGCACTATCAGGTAAATTTAGGTTATTTTCTGTATTCCAGTATAACAAAATGAGCAAGAAGTTCTTCCCTTCCCAAGCCCAGAGAGTAAGTTACCTGCTACTTAGACATCAGAAACCCAACTGCTAGGGGTGAACTTTCCCCAACATGGGGAACCTTCCAGTGACGATTCTATTATGTGCCTTTTATGACCATATCTGCATCATGCCCAGGGTCCACTGTTTTATGCCCTGCCCATTTCTGGAGAGAAACAAAATTTCATTGGTTACCAAAGCTCATAATCAAATCTATGGAATGTAAGGAACAAAAGGGGCCATAAATGATATTAACGCCCACACTTTTGTTTTACAAAGGGTGAAACCAAGGCCCATCGGTATAAGTACTTTACCTAAGCTTACAAAGTTAGCTAAATCTAGAGCCAAGACTAAAATGAGAAACTGCTTGGTATAGAGAACAGTGTTCTTCAAATCCATCCTCTTCTAAGTTCTTTAACTGTGGCCAGTCTCCCAGAGTCTTGGTTTCCTCATCAGTGAGGATGTTAATAGCGAACATTCAATATTATTTACTCTGTGTC